GCTGTCCCGAAGGCTGGGGGGGCTCTGGGAAGCTCTGCTCAGCCAACTCCCGTGTGGGGCTTTCCTACAGAGGGGAGACAGGTGGGAAGGGACCCTCGCTGGAGCCTCCTGCCATCGCTCCTGGCATTGGGAAGCATGGCGGGGCTGTGCCCAGAGACCATGCACTGCCCACCCCGTGGCCACCCACCTGGTCAAAGAGGTAGATGGTAACATCATCATAGAAGGAGACGGCCTTCTTCTTGCGCTCCAGGTCCTCGCAGAAGGACTCGGAAAGCAGGCTGGGCATCTTGAGGAGGCGCTGCTCCCTGCCGCTCTGGCTCTCGGCCACCACGATGGGCACGGCCGCCGGCTCCTCCTCGCTCTCCTCACTCTGCTCCTGGATGTTGTAGCAGCGCAGTTCCTCGTCCGACTCATCGCTATCCTCTGTGTCCTCCTCTTCCTCCTCCGGCTCCTCGCGGTGCTCAGGGGCAGCTGGGAGCGGGGAGAGGCCCGGGGGTGACTTGTCCCCTGGTAGCAGCGTGCTGGGACCCCCCGGCGCATCACCCACCGCAGTTCCCTCTGGGTGCCGTTCTAACTCCCCAAGCCCCAGAGCGGGGGGGACAGTCTGTTCACCCCCAGCTGCAGCTCCCCCAATTCCAGGGACACCCTCAGGCACATGGATCCCCTTGGCAGACACTGGCTCCCCGGGGCTTGTCAGCACCGGGGTCAAAAAGAAAGTCTTGGGTGGCACAGAGCCTGGGGGACAGGGGTCACCACCGGGTTCCAGTCCCAGATGCCGACCCTGTGGGGCTGGCTGGGGCCCCCTTGGCCACTGTCCCCCTCCAGTCCCCCGCCAAAACCCCCACTGCTGGCATGTCCACTGCCACCACCGTGCTGGGTGCTGCTGGGGGGCTACTGGGTGCCCCTGGGGGGTGCAGCGAGTCGTCTCCTGGCACAGGGGCTTGCCCCAGGTCCTGAACGGGATGTCGGGGACCCTCCTCTGCCTCCGGGGTCCGGGACCCGTCGCTGTCCTCCTCATCCTTGGGGCTGCGTTCAGCCTCGGCGTCGTAGTCAGAGAAGTAGGCAGAGTCACGGTAGGGGTTTTTCTCGGCGAGGCTCTGCAGCTCAGCCCCGAGGGAGGTAGAGAGCTGCATGTCAGGGGGCAGACCCTCACCCTCACCCCCTGGCAGCCCCGGGGGTGGCTTCCCCAACTGGCCAAAGGCCTCCGGCTCTCGGGGCTCATGGGGCTCTTTGAGGACAAACTCAGGGGATTCATTGTTCTCGGTGTCGTAGCCGCTGTCCAGGGCCTTGGGCTGTCCAGCCGGCACGTAGGCAGTGGGGCTGAACACCTCGCAGGAGCTGGCGGTGGAGGGGATGTCTAATGATTCCAGGGAATCCGGCGTCCCCACCTGCTTCTGCAGGGACTTGAGTGCTGGGGTCACCTCCGCCCGCTCCGCGTAGTCCCCGGAGAAATCTGTGAAGACTCCGGAGGTCAGCTCTGCCGTGTCCTCATCGCTCCCCTCATCTGTGCTGGGGAAGCTGGTGCTGGAGAAGGTCTTGTCCGGTGTCCGGTCTGTGTCACACACGCCGCTCTCAGCGCCAGCGTCCCCGGGCACCGGCACAGGTGCCTCGGCGGC